CCCACCAACACGGTTCTTTATCATTATCTACTTTCAAACCTTCTTTAATGTATTTCTTTAACAGGCAACCAAATACTATCCAAATTTACAGATGGAGACCAGATAAAAATTCTTTCAAATGCTCCTCTATAAATATCAAGTATCATTGATACAAGTAAAGTTGATTTTCCACTTCCAGATGGTCCGACAATCATAGCTCTCATAGGCAATTTAGGGACAACCTCATGCTTACTTTGCTTAAAGTCATATTTGATTTCATCAATTGGTTTTACATCAGGCATAATAAAAATAATATTATAAATACTTATAAAATAAAAAATATAATATAATTATATCATAATGGCAATAGAATCTATTAATTTAAGTGAAGTGGCTAGTATTCGGAGGATATATAAATTTGGTGATATCTTAGTGCCCGACACTGAACAAATATATTATGATACAATGTTATACTTTTTATCGGCAATTAAAAAACAAAATATCGTAGCATCCAAGTCCTCAATTGAAAATGACAATAACCTAGATTTTAATTTTAGAAAGTTAGTAAATTTTATGAAAGATTATCCCGATATGTATACAAATGAAATGATAAATAGTGTACAAGAAGTTATTGATATTAATATTAGAGATGTTAGTCTATCAACTGCAATGAAACTTAGTAAAGAAAATAGTTTAAATACATATTCTATTTAATATTAATGGAACATCTTTTTTATGATATGCTGGCAGTGAATACCATAAAAATGGAACAGGCTTTCCATTGTGTTCAATCAATAAGCATTGAAGCTAATTAGTTTTGTGTCTTGCTCGCGTGTGCAATGAAAACCCCAAGTGCTGTGCCCCACCAATATTCTATTATGCATGAAAATAATAAGATTAAATAAATATTTTATCTTATTATTTATATGACTATTATCCGTTGCAGTTGTGGTAAAACTTATGATGACAAATATTTATTTAAACATCTAAATTCAAAACATCATCAGAAATTTGTAAAATATAGATGGAATAAAGACGATACAATGAAAAAACTTTACAAGAAAAGAAAGACAGAAATTAAAAAAATAATTTATCTTATTATTTATATGAATATGAGTTATTCGGATTATATTGATATAATAAATGAAGTAGAAAACATAGAACGGGTTGTCATAACTGATAATAGATGTAAAAAAATATGTTATTTTATTTTAGAATTAATTAAGTTTTTGATGCAATATATTAAAAATATAAATATTAATATAAATGCCAAAAAAGAGAACCAAAAAGAATAAGATAGGTTTAAGTGTTTCTTCAACAGATGAAGATAGCGGAGAAATTGTTAAAGAAACATCAGTATTTGAGATTGCTTGTCCTATGTGCAAAAAGATGTTAGAACTTAAAAATGAATTAGAAATAAAAAATAATAAAACATGTAAATGTTCATGTATTCCAACAAGTTTCAAAATAAGTAAAAATGATAAGAAAATGAATATTGATAAAACTAAAGACAGTATCAACTTAGAACCTGATGTCCATAGTATAACTTTTAAATTTGGTAGGCAAGCAACACCATCCGATAATAATGAAAACGAAACACAGGAAACTGTTAAACAAATGATGAAAAATTAGTATTTAAAGAGTAGATTTAACATAATTGCACTTTATAAATATATATAATTAAATAAATAAATAAATATCGAATTATTTATATAATCATAATGCCAACAATGAATGGAGAAGACCATAGAATTATAACTTTTGACGATGAAGAAATTAAAGACCTATTCAATGGTGATGAAAACTTTGCTAAACAATTGAGTGAAGAATATTTTTATTGGTTTGATGCTAAATTCAGTGATAAATATTTTATGAAAGGTATAACTAAACCAGATAACTTTGGTAAAATATTGAATTTTTTTGAAATTACAGGTGACGAGGAAGGTTTAATACAAATGAAAAATAAAATTGGTGAAAGACTCTTAGAATATAATTTATTTACATATATAACATTAAATTATTCAGGTAAATTGTATAATTAAATAAATAATTATCTAAATAAATATATAGTAATGTCTGAGAATGAGAATTATACTATTAATGATTTAATGAAGAAGATAACATTAATTGGTAAAAATATCAAAACCTTAAATGATATGATTAAATCCATTGATGACAAAATGAAACCAGTTGAACGCAATGAAGATAAAGAAAAAATCGAAAAGATATTTCAAGCAAAATCTATAGGAAGACCATCGGGCGACTACCCGACAAAGCAAAAGAAATACTGTGATATGTTGAATACAGGAAAAATCAAACAACCTAAAAGCACCACTTTAGAATTTTATAAAATTTCAAAAAATGATGATGGAGTATATACATTATTTGAATAATTAATAATCTAAATAATTCTAATAAATGAATTTATTAGAATTATTTAGCGGAACAAAAAGCGTCGGAACCATAGCAAAGTCGCTTGGATTTAATGTAATATCATTAGACTTGAAAAATGCTGATATCAACACTGATATTTTGGAGTGGGATTACAAACAGTTTGACAGAAACCATTTTGATTTTATTTGGAGTAGTCCCCCATGCACTGAATACAGCGTAGCAAAAACTAGGGGAATTAGGAATATCGAATATGCAAATAGTATTGTCTTAAAAACTATTGAGATTATCAAATATTTCAATCCTAAATATTTTGTGATCGAAAATCCACAAACTGGATTATTAAAACATCAGGAGTTTATGGATGAGTTTGATTTTAAAGATGTTGATTATTGTAAATATGGAATGCCTTACAGAAAACGCACTAGGCTCTGGAATAACATTACAACTTGGAAACCTAGAGAATTATGTAAAAAGGATTGTGGCAACATCAGGAATAATAAACATATTGAAACAGCGCAGAGACTGCCATCGGGCACCAAGGAAAATTGGGGAGACAATCCAACAATACATAAACAGGAAGACCTATATAAAATACCTAGCGAATTAATTTGTGAAATCTTGGTTAGTCTGGTGGATTAAGGATTTGGGTTTGGGTTTCACGGGCTTCGTGATAAATGTTTCACAGGTTTTGTGATAAATGTTTCACGGGCTTCGTGATACATGTTTCACGGGTTTTGTGAAATGCTTTGACCACATATTGTGGATGTTGTTATATCGTAGAAGAGAGAAGGGTTTGATGTAAGAAGACATAAAATTATTTATTGAAAGTAAAAAGTTTAATATTAAACATACAGTTAGAGATACAAATATTATTATTAAAATGATGTATAAATAAGTAAGATGTAGCAATGTTGTGATAAATGTTTCACGGGCTTCGTGATAAATGTTTCACGGATTTTGTGGAAATATTATGCGGGCTTTGCAGAATTATTATACGGCCTATTGCAATGATTAAACCCATACTATAATATTAACATTTATACCCTTATATGTTATAATTATAATGTAAAATGACTTAAAGGAATAAAGACTTAATATATTATAGTAAGAATGGAAGGCGTCTATGTTTTAACCGAAGATAAAATAAATAAATTAATAGAACAAAGGAAAACAGAGAGTGAAGAAGTAAAAAGGTTTATCCGTATAAATCCTTATCCATCAGCAGAAGAAATGACCAAAGTAATTGAACAAATGAAACAAACAGGAATACCGGTTGAACTGATGATGAGACTATATCATCGAGAAATTCTAAACAACATGTATGATGAACTCAATGATGAAAGTAAGGTTATAGAATATGGAATAGAACTAAACAAAATAGACATAACTGGTCCTAACAACTCTGAGCAACTGAAATTTATTTTTATGAAAGCAAACGTTTTAATTCTTCAATCAATTATTAGATACAAGTATGAAACACATAAACAGAAAAATAAACATATTGACAAAGAAACTATATTAGGATGGTCAAGCAAAATAGAACGGTGGTGGAATAAAGTAGGCATCAATACTATGAGCTGGAACACTTAAAACAAATCTTAATCATACTATGATTATCACATGTAAAATATTATATGTTATAATTGTAATATATTTATCGTTTGTAAAGATTGAATTATTATATTTTCCTAATTTGCTTATCTCTTTCAAAGTGCGTTGTTTAGACTTGGTATGCTCTTTTGATTTTTTCGTGCTTTGGCTGTTTGTTTTTATTTTGTTTGATACTCTTCTGATAGTTTTTGTTTGTATGTTGCTTTGTTTTTTGTTGATGTGTGTTTTTGAGTTTGGGTTCTTTGATGATTTAGAGTGTTGCTGTTTTGTTGGTATGCTTGATTGAATTATTTAATGTTGCATGCTGTGATTAAATATTTTTGTTGGTGGTTGTGATTATTTATTTTGTTTGCTTGTTGTTCTGGATTTTGTTTTCTGTTTGTTGTGTTGCTGTTGGAGAAAAAAAAGTAGAAAGAATAATTCTTTGAATTCTCCTTTTACTATTTTTTCCCCCACACCCCCACACCCCCACACCCCCACACCCCCACACCCCCACACCCCCACACCCACACACCCACACACCCACACACCCACACACCCACACACCCACACCCACACCCCCACCCCCACCCCCACCCACACCCCCACCCACACCCACACCCCCACCCACACCCCGCAAAAAACGCCCCCACCCCCCCCGCCCCCACCCACACCCCGCCCCCACACCCCGCCCCCACACCCCACCCCCACACCCCGCCCCCATACCCCGCCCCCACACCCCGCCCCCCACCGCCCGCCCCGCCCGCCCGCCCCGCCCCGCCCCCCCGCCCGCCCGCCCCGCCCGCCCCGCCCCGCCCCGCCCCGCCCCGCCCCCCCGCCCCGCCGCCGCCGCCCGCCCCCCCGCCCGCCCCGCCCCCCGACCGGGTCTTCGCGCAGTTTGTCCGTTTGTCCGGCGGCTTACAATGTTTTGCTACTACCAGACGGGGCTTTTGTGATGAAACACGCCTCAGATGGCGTCTTTTTTCAGAAGGCCAAACCTGGAGCATACGGCTTGTTTGGATCCCCTCCCCCCGAAAAGGTGGAGAGCTGTCGATTACAGCGGCGAACATTGCAGCGAGTCTCCTTCAATTCTGATCACATCGGCGCCAGAGGGCTGCTACGCCTACGTAGGCATGGTCGAAAGCCTCCCATCCCAGATTCTGAACCCCAGTTGCCCATGGCACCTTTTCTCCTTTTGCCTGGGATGAGTTTCCCTTTAGACATCCACCGGAAAAAAAAGGCCTTTGTTTTTCACCCGGCTTCTGGAACCCATGTGTCTGTGTGTTGGCACGGTCATTCATGAACTTGGGCATGCACTTGGCATGAATCACGAGCAGTCGCGCCCGGACCGCGACCAGTATGTCACTGTCCACTGGAACAACGTCCGGCCTGGAAAGGAACCCAGGTTACCCAGTGGCAGCTTTCTTTCTGTGAGCATTAAAGCCCCCTTAAATGAGTGTTGCCTTTTCTGCGCAACCTCGAGGGCCCGTGAGCCGGGAGCATCATCACCCTATTTTTCTGTATAATTGTTTAACAGAAAAGGGGTAGGCCCTTTCCCATGTTGTTTCAACCATTGGCAAGAAAGGAAGACAATTTTGAGCTAATAGAAGAAATGGATACCTCCCGGCCATATGACATCTTGTCGGTGATGCACTATGGCCGCAACGCCTTTGCCGTAAATGAGTCGGAGCCAACCATGACGGCCAAACCTGCGGCCTTGAGGCGCGGAATCCACGGAAAGTTGTTGAGTTGCATTTGGCTACTTGGAATGACGGAGATGGCTACCACTGAGCAGGGCTCCTCAAAAGGTACATGTTGCAACCAGTTGAAACATGTTGCTTTTTCAACACCACTTATAAGGGAAACCACCACTTATAAGGCAATGTTCAGGTGTAGAATGTAAGGATCGCTGAACAGTTGTGGGCTCCCAACTTAAAAAATACCGACTGACCCCTGACAGTGGCGGGCGCGCCTCAAGCGCCGAGAAGTTTGACATCGGCAATCGGATCGGGCTTTCTCAGATGGATGCTGATCAGCTGGCCGACCACTACAGGTCGGAGGTGAGCACATGCACAGCCAACAAGCTCGGAGGTTCCACTTGCACAGAAATGGACGCTCAGCGCGCGTTTGGCAATCGTTGTGATCTTTGTGTTTCCCGTTGTTGTTTTAATTACCCCAAAGATCCCAAAAGTCGTTTACCTATTTCCAAGTGAGGAGAAGGATGGCAAGGCTTGGGTGGACCCACACGGTCAAGGCTGTGCTATCTACCTGCAAATGCAAGAGGAGGGTCAAATCGAAAGCTGTGGGAGACCTTTTGCGTCTGGCAGATATTGTTGCGAGTGCGGTGGCGGGCTGCGCCTGCAAGCATGGTCACCCTGACCTGCGGAGCGCTTTCGCGAGAAAGAGTGCGCGCGAAAAAAAAAAGGAAAAAAAAAGAAGAAGAAAAAACGAAAAAGCTCACGAAGGGATCATGGAGAAAGCATCGATGGGTGCGAAACAATGAATTCACCCAAGGGAAGCCAAAACGCGATGTGATTTTTCCAGACCCCTTATATAGCACCCATAATGGAGAGAAGGCCAACATATTTAGCGATGGAAAAGCAGCTGCCGCTCATTGGAAAATGCCCAAGTTCTTGAAGCCACCTTAGCTGTTCACTGATTCGTAAATTCCGAGAGAGGATCTGCTTTCGCCCAGATTGCGAGGGCAAACGCGTGTATTGCTTTTGTGTTTGTGTGTGCTTCTGTGCTTGTTTGTGTGTGTGTGTGATTGTGTGTGTGTGTTTGTGTTGTGTGTTGCCTGCTTGCGTGCTTCGGCAACGGCTTGTTTGCATGTTATTTTGCTAGCGTGCAGGAGCGCATGGGCGCGCGTTGCGAAAGTATGCTTGGGCGGGGGTCACAAGTGCGTGGAGGCCTGTATGATTGCAGTCTCTTGCAGGAATGCATTCAAACAAAGTGCCCCCCCCTGTGTTTGCTTTTGACGCTGTTAACATGAGGGACATCCATATTCTCACCAATCATCGCCAATCCATCTGAGACACACTGGGTCTGACCTGAAAGGATTGAGATGCTAAGGGACCCAACTGTGGTCGCGGAGAAGGCTTCTCTGACCAGATCCATCCAAGATGTCATCAGATGTATCAGATGGAGAAGGTAGACAGTTACCGATGACCGCCAAAAACCCGCCGCCGCATGACGGAATTGTCAGTTGGCCCAGCTACGAGAGGAACGTGGCTTGGGTAGAGCCAGGGCGAAGAGGACCTTTGTTCAAAAGCAGATTCACAGGAGATGCTAACACGCACAGCGAGATGCTCGACAACACTTTGCTCGAAGATAGAGAAGAAGAGTCAATTACTTCAGGAGTACGCTCAAGAAGTACTTCCTGAAGGGCGCAACCAATTGTACCTCTACAGGCTCCTCAGCTTCTTCAACCATCGGCGACACAACGCGGGGTTCTCGTTTTCACATCAAAATTCGAGATCTTGCTCAGGAGACAGCATGAAACCGTCTGATGCCCGTCATCACGGCACAATCACCCGACTTCCTCGAACCAGCGCAAGACGCAATCAATCGAAGAATCGCTCAGCAACGGCGGGCACCTGCTGCCAGAGCGCCACCCATGCAGCTATTGGTTCCGGATGTCCGGAGGGTCTGAGTCAGTATGTAGCAGGCATGCAGGCAAGACACTGAGACGCGTTCATGACAATGTCATTGCACAATTGTTTACCACCCAGAGTAAGTTGTCAGATCAGCGGAGAGAAAACCTGAAAAGCGCAATGTCCTTGAGGAACATCCAGCTTGAGAATTATAGTCTCGCTTCCTGAGTTCATGAACTTTAAACTTCTGGGGAAGACCATTTTTGTGGTACATATAAAGTTTGGACTTTTTTTGGGCCATCCACTCAGCCAGTGAGTAGAACAAGATGCTGAAAACACAGTATGACGATCTCTTCATCACAATAAGAACATCCATTCAAGATCCATCAATCAGACCTCCAGGAGGCAACCGCAACAACACCTTCTACAAGCAGAAGGAGAAGCAGTTTTTTGGGTTGGGATGATGATGGACATGAAGGATTCATCGCAGCAGAAGATGAGGGGACATTCTGGGTCCTCGAGGAAAAACGACCCGTTGATGCGAAAGGTGTCAGGGCGGAATCTAAGATTTGGAAAAAGGAATGGCAAAGGAAAATCAAGAAGCAACAAGGGTGGTCACCGACGAGATGGCTTCAAACCTTTCAGGAAGCGCTCCGCGGACGGCAGGGCCCATGTGGCCAACGAACAGGACGATCCCTACCACCAGGCATTTGGGGAAAGGTAAAGGCAAGACAGGAAAGAAAAAAAACAGAACAATTCCAGTATGCTTCCGATGAAAACAAAGGTTCTCCATTCTATGACAATGGTAAAGGAAAAGGTGGAAAGGAAAATGGCAGGATCACTGGATTCTTGACAAGAACAACAAACAGCTCACTCGTTTACATTACGCTTCGGAAGGCGTTGTTTACCATCAGGAGCTAAGCAATGTCATGCTGAAATCCTTGACCAATTGGAGACTACATCCCAAGCAAACAAAACATGGGTTAACCGGTGGAAAGGTAAGACCATCTTCACCTTCGTGGGCAACTCGCTCAAGGACGAAGAAGCAGGTTCATCAGGATCGGCAGCAGACAGGATCATCGACAAGAAGGGTCGGCCAACCACTGAGCCAGATCCTATTGCAGCATCCATTGGTGAGTAAGCAGAGAACATCACATGAACTTCTTCGACCAGTACCACCTGCAGCCAAAACCAGTTGTCGCAGATCAAGCTTTCATGACGGAGACCTGGGAGCATCTCCATCAGTCCCTCGACATTACACCAACTTTTTTGAGTACCAGACACACCATGGCCAAACCGAGCACCTGCTTCACTCAAGAAGGTCACACCGACAACTTGCATAGGCCGCTGCAACCGTCAGGAACCAGACCGTGACCTACGAACTCGCATTCGGAAGACCCTCATCCAACTTGATGTTGGGACACCGACACAGCTGACGACTGATAAGACAAATGACAAATGAAGGAGCTGACAGCACTCCAGGAAGCTCGTCAACCCGAAGGCGTCAGCAGAATCTCCGAATGAGCCCCAAGCCTCTGTAGGTGAAGGACAAGGTATTTTACTGGCACAAAGACAAATCCAAGATTTGTTCCGATGAAAGCAAGGGAGGCATGGCTGAAAGGAAAAGTCATTTCGCTTGAAGGAGCAAGGGTAGGACTCGATCTCGGAACTCGGCTCATCAGGGTCAACATGACTAAGGTTCGGAAGGATGAGACCATTCTTCTTTGCAAACCAAGAATCGGCTTTTGTTGCCTGATGAGAAGGAAGCCTTACGGCAAGAAGGCTCATCAGCCGATTCCAAGAAGCAGGGGTCATCCAGGCCAGCTCCTAAGCCAGCAGCCTCCCGGCAATTGCGTCGACGGGAAGACCTCTACAAAGTCTGCAGCCACGAAGCCAGAAGAGAAAAAGTTTGTGAAAGATTTCACAATTTCATGTTCTCGAGATGGTTCCAGGATGTGCAAGATTCAGCCAGTGCTGCACGCTTACAGGACTGAAGGTCGGCTCTCCTATTCAGAACGTTTCGACGTGATGACATCCAAGGGACGACACATGGTCTTAAGCAGGCGCCCGATGTCATCCTCGTGGCACGGGTGTGGACCATGGTCGAACACGCAGAACATCTAGAGAGACCAACAGGAGGTCTACCAACAGAAGGTCTGGGAGAAGGCGAAAGCGCTGCATCCCAATGGTTGAATTCGTGTCATCGATGGCGCGACACCAATTGAAGGGTCTGGTACTTGCATTGCATGCTGACCTGGGGTGGGGAAACTCCCATTTCTGTGCTTATGGACTGAAAGATCCTGGATCCGAATGAGAAGCCTGAAGCCAACAACCTTGCTTCACTGCTTTCCTCCTGAGGTGATGAAGCCGATCTTCAGAAAATGCAAAGAATTTCACGACCTCAGTGAAACATGAACATCAACCACTTGAAGGCAACGCGGGCCCACAACATTGCGAAGCGATGCGGCTGCCCATGAAAAGAAAGGACCTTGTCAGGACCTCCGTCCATGCATGTGCAAAGGCATAGTCCTGAAATCCTGGGGCGCAAGACCAGTCGCATGCTTTGTCCGTGCACCCAGAACCGGGCTAGCGGCACGACAAATGTGAGAGATCCAAACACCTGCGAACCAACATTCGGTGTTTTCAGGTGCTTTTGCGGCAGAGACGACAGCGTGGCAGACCAGCACTACACAACAACTGCACGCGATTGCCTGGCATGCGCCGGAAACTTCACGCGGAGCGGCGATTTCGACAAGACACAATTCGGACCGAACCGTGAGATCATCACAATCACGATCGAAAAGACCAATAAATTCAACGGCGAGATCCAGACATCCCATGGACAAATTTCATGGACACATATGAACACCATGTCCATCGAGCTGGATTGCCCTTTGCAGCCGTTGGAGTATCCCATATCCACCCACCCCTGAGCTATGGAGCCGTTGAGGAAGCCGTGCGGAAACATATGCTTCTGTTCTGGAACATCGGTGCGATGCAATCACCAGAGAAGGAAACAAATCCGTCAACATGTCCAGCAAGTTCCAGCTGCCACGCCGGACTCATGAGACTATGGAACAACCGACCGATTGGACTTCTCCATGGACACATCAGCAAACATCCAGAACATCATCCGACATGTCACGAAAGCTAGCTTTAGCTAGCTGAAGTTTCTCCTTGCGTAAGCAAGGTAAGGGGCTCAAATGCCGAAAGATTGATTTTTTCAATTATTTGAGCCGAAAAGATTGAAAAACATCAATTATTTAGACCCCCCCCCCCCTCCCCCCCCCCGGTCTCAGGCTCGATTCCTCCCTGGTCCATCCCCCCCCGGGCAGTGGCTCAGTGTTCAGCAGTCTCGGTTTGCCCGTTTTGGACTTGGTGCTACGAACTTTTACATGTTCCACCGATTCAGCTTGTTCATTTGAGACCTCAGTCTTCTCGGTAAACCACCTCGCAAGAATCTTTGCACACGCAGCATGCAGAACCCAGAGGTGCTTTCAGACAGCTTCTGACGCCTCTCGTTGTTTTCATTTTTCAAGGTTTGCCACGCCACCATGTGCGTTTGCGTGTCGCATCCTACGAATCTTGCCGGGCCTCTCGTTGTGCACAAGCTACCTATGAATCCACTCTGTCACCGACCCATCTCATGCAACAACTGCTAGCTTTCGTTCACCCGCTCCTCAAGTCCTTTATACTAAGAGAGGATTGGATTTTCGTTTGTGGCTGGAGAAAGATCAAGGATCAGCAAGATTACCTCATGGCAGAGTCATGCAGCATGCCCGAGGAAGACAAAGATCTGTTCGAAAATGGCTGTGGGTTCGTCATTGCCGATTAGCACAGGTGTTCTCTTCAGAGCGCTTCAAGCATGTAGCTCATGAATGCAGAATGCGACCTGGACTGGCCCGCACCCTTGATTGTGGTTTACATCCGAAGTTGTCAGAAGCCAAGAAGAGGAGGATTCAGCAGAACTTTTCGAGGAAAAAGGACTGCTACTCTTCCTGGAAGAAGTACAACCAATCCTGGTGCGAGTACTCGGCATGCGAGAACAGCTACAGGGGGCACCAGAAGAAATGGTGACCTAACAACGGCGGGCCTCCTTAGGCAGTTGCCAATCGAATTCGAAACTCTGCGCCATCAACGGCCAATCGACATTCTCACAGATCAATTCTCATGACTTCATCATCTACAAGACTATTATGACTGCGACACAACCTCATCGCCTACAAGACTTTTTTCGTCAAGTAAAAGAGTCTATAGTTTCATGCGTCAGATGCAACATGTCAGGGACAACTAGGTACCCCTTTGCGCGAAGTCCCAAGTTTGCGAGTTTGACACCACTTTGCGGCATGGTTGTGCAAACATGTAAATAAGTGACGAAATCAACAAGTCCGTGTCACAAAGCAAACAGCTTTCAGCAGCCTGAGCACATATGAATTATGGCTACGGCGCAATAATTCGAATGTTGAAGGCAAAATGTGTGTCTGTTTGTGTTTGCTTTTGACATTGTTGACCTTCATACAACCTACCATGTTGGCTTTGCTATCTTTACAATCGGAGCCATGTGCTTACAGTGAAAAGACCACGCAGCAGTGCATCCCAGGAACCGAGAGATCAATACAGTAACCGGGGACATCCATAGCCATCTGAGATGCGTTGGGTCTGACCTGAAATAGGTCCACGGGCCATTTGAGTTTCCTACCACAGCAGGTTTGAGATCCCCTGCTACCGGACTCATCCCCCCCTCCGAACTGGTTTTTCGCATTTGCAAGCGCAGCCGCACCATGCCAAGCTCACAGCTTGGTTGATAAAGAAATGTACACTTGCCCGTGCCTGAAAAAATGGCGGAACATTCTGTCCAAGGACACGTTAGGGTGCCAGAAGAGGGGTCCCGCCGGCCCTCCGCGTCCAACTATTGTTCAAAATCGCAACTTCCCAGCAAGGAATTTAGATAGTTGTTTTGATTTGCACTTGGTTCAGACTCTGTTTGATATTGGTTCTGTCTCGGTTTAGCATACGTTTAGTATTGGCTTGTTATCCGTTCTAAAGCATGCAATAGGACGATCCAATACAGCTGAAGTTGGGGTTGGCTGAAAACTTGTTTGTTTACAATGGGTTTAGTATTGGCTTTATCTAATTCAGTTCAGCTTTGAGAGATTAGGCCCGGAGGCATATACTTTTATGAATAGGGGAGGGGTTAATTATTTGATTTGAGAGATCCTTTGACACTTTTGGAAGGAACTGTGTTCTCGCCCTTCGGGCGTGCCGAATGTCCGTTCATCTCCGAGATCCGAAAAAGAGAAAAAACAACTCGCTTGGATTGCCAGCAAGAGGAGAGGGGATATGCCTCACACAACCCGAAAAGAAAGTCCAGATGGAAGGCTGCCTTCTACGACTCAACCTTAAGCACTGCTGAACGCCCCAACAGCCACTTCGGACAATTCCTGGAAAGTCGGGTGATGTTGGCGCGCATTGTCAAACGGAACCCTGTTGCTTCAATCAAAAAGTTGCAAAGAAGATGCAGTCTCCAACGGTTGTTTTTATGCTGGTGTCGCGCGTGCAACTGGCTGATTCTGCATGGGGGGTCAGAAGAAGAATCCTCATTTGTCTATTCGCTTCACGGATGCCACCGTTCAATTGCTGGTGTCATCAGCTTTCCCATGCCGAACTGTGAAAGTTGCTTCGCACTGTTCCGACGCGAAGTCAAACAATCTCGGGCAAAAATATGATTGTCTCCGGATGCACTCGTAAGGGTTATTCGCGGGATGCCAACAAAACGCCCTGATTGGCGGCTGAAAGTAGGTCGACCTGATGCAGCATCACTGGCCGGCAAGCAGAGGTCCTATTCAAGAGCCCACGATTTCTCCCATATTTGCAGTTTTCCTCAAGCAAATCCAGCAGTTGCCTTTTACGGCGTCCGAGGGCGTCGGGATTTGTCGACTTTCCCACTTCAGACAAATTATCCACCCAACTTCAAAACAGCAACCAGTTGCAGGCACAGAAGCACGGCAAAGCTTGCGCATATGCAGGGCCACGCGTGTCCCACTTGTGCGCACGCACAGATCACAAATGTGCATTGAGACACCTGTTTGCACATGTGTGCATGCGTGCACACTGAGACACACACCTATCCCGATTTCGCTGAGCAAACCCCTCTTTAGAAGTAAGAAACCCTATAGCTAAAGCTATTTGGGAAAATGTTGATAAGCAGGATCTCGATTCATCCTTCTCTTATCGTCGTCCCTCATCCGAGGAAAAGGAAGAAGAGATGCCAGCCATTTACATATGGTGAAATATGGTGCACAAAGGAACCGGCTGGAGAGGATTTCATGCCTTGGGATCTTCTCTCTTCTCCCTTTTGCATGTAGCTGACTTGCCCAAAGCCGACCTTTTGACGGTTTGGTTGTCATGTTTAGTCAGGTTTCCAAAAGGTTAACCTTTTGTTCCAGGTCCTTTGGGCAACAGAGACGGAGAATGGAGAGACATCCATGCCAGGAGGTTTCCAGAGGGCGCGCTATTTGTGCGGGTGCTCTCCCTTTCCGATTCTTCCCTCACTAAGCTTATCAGAGAGGGAAGGCATGCCACAACTTCACGGGATAATGGCCTTGCCATTCATCTCTTCAGCATCACTTCGCTCCAGTCCAAAAAATACTAGAAACAAAGGCCTCCATTTGCTTCAGAATATGTTTGATGTCCCCTTGTTGGTTTTCAAAGTACTTCATCACTACTGGAGATAGGTTTATTTTTTCCTGGGGCCTTGACCAAATGGAAGGGCTGCACTGCATCCCTCTCCTGTGGTCCCATCCGGGTCGCTTCGCGGGGGGCTGGCTGTTTCCTGAGGCTCGAGGGGCATAGGGGATGCACCAGAGCGCGCCCACATCACGTGACTTGTATCGTCCAGTCTGGTCGTGATTCATTTTGACCCCATATTCGTCAACCCCAGTTTGTTCAGAGGGGGGTTCAACAAAAGAAGCTGGTTGGTTGATCCAAAGTATGGTGGTTGTGTTTTTTTAATGTCAGCTTCATTCATGCTTCATTGGTGGTAGTGTGTTGTCTCTTTCTCGAGTTGCTCTATCGTTCTTCTCTTTGGTCGAGTGGGAGTCCAGGCCCAATTTTGGGCGCTGATGCCATGGATGGAAGCAAGTTCCTGGGTCACCCGGACCAGGCCCCTCGGGCTCGGGGGCTCGGGGGGTCGAGGGCTCGGCCGCTTGGGATCGAGGCGAGCCCCGGTTCAAACTGAACGGTCCGCCCGAAACCTATCTACCAACATGGTCATGAAGGCTATGTAGGCTTGACCCGTTTCCCATGGCCAACTTTGGTTGGGGTTTTGGGGTGGCTGTGGCCTCCAAGTTTGACCAAATTGCCACAGAAACAAACGTTGGGGGTGGAAGGGGATTTTCTCCCAATGTCCTGGGACCTTCCGAGCCAATTCTCGCCAGGCGGCGTGCGTGAGATATTGGAGCACTCCGGGGAAGAGGCCGCGATCAAAAAAACAAACGAAAGCCATGGGGTGTGACTCTGTTGGGGATTGGTCGACCGGACTAGAAACATGCGGTGAACTGTTTCCACTGCTTTTGTGTGGGAGTTTGGATGAGTGTCTCTGTGGGTCGGTGGGGTTGGTCTACCGGATGACGAGAAAAGCGTGTGGCGAACTGAACTTTTTCCACTGCTTTTGTGTGGGAATTTGGATGACTTTCTTTCTGTGGGCATTTGGATCGCGAAGCACTCATCCAACCTTATTGCTCCTGGGTCCCGTTCATCTTTTCAGCCGAGCCAATCCGAGGCCGCTGCCGGAGAACCTGAGCCGCATGCTGCGGGAGGTGGCAGATGCTGGCCCAGAACAAGACACCTTTCACTGGCTGGAGGTCCAATGGAACTGCGACATTCTCAGACAGGCGGGTTGGCAAGGGGCAACATCGTGGTTGAACTGCTCGCAACAGGAAACTGAAAGGTGGTATGAACAGGTTGGTCTTCAAACAATGTTGTTTTAGATCAAATGCAGTTGTTGAAACATACCTCAAAAGGCAACCGATTCAACTGGTTGTTTAACATGCCTTTGAAACCTTGAAACCTACGGAACTCAAGAGGTGGTTAAAGGGTTACCAAAGGGCGAAGCCAAGAAGCTGTCAGGCGGCCTGTTTGAACAGAATCCCAATGCTTGTTTGAACTGTCCATGGTTTAATTGCACCCCCTGAGGAGGAACAAGTTCACCTGCTGCTTATGCGCTATGTACATGTTGCGAGGAAACGCCATGCTGCAAGGTGCGCCGGGTGTGGCAGACGGGCTGAAGTGTGGGGGAACTCATTCTCTCCAGCAATGCCTTGTTGACATCAAACAGCATTCAGCAGAACATGGTCAAAAATACACGGACCACTAGAATCCCATTCCGGGACCTCGGAGAAAAAGCAACATGTCTGCGGATGACCATCAACTCGGCGGATGACTAGTGACACCGGTTGATGAGTATGGAAGGTTTGTTGATCGCGGGAAACATGCTCGACTCTGTACCACCAGGGCTAAACGATGTTTGGTGTTGGAAGGACCCCCACCAAACCCCACCACAAACAAAAAGCAAATGGCTTCCGAAGCTAGGAAGACCTCGCCGCACAAAAAGGAAAACAAGTGCAGCAGGAGGGCGCGGCTTCAAACCAAAACACGAGGCACCTCAACTTTCAGCCGGCAACCACAAAGTGAAGTGTGCAAGGGTCCCTCTTAAGGGCTTACTCATGGCGCAGATCTAGGTGCTCCACAATTGCATCACTAATCAAGCTCCGGCATGATGCTAGTGGGTCAAGTGGATGTCTCGCTTTCGGACCTGGTGTGATGCCAATCAACTTCCACTCATGTATTCCAAGAAGTTTTGGAACTATAGGCCCAAGCTGCAAATGGCATCCTCCACAACTGGGGCCTACGAAGCGCAGGAACCCGCAAAAACAAACCGACTGCATCTGGCGCAAACAAGCACACAACAGTGACACGCAGCACAAGCAAAGTACCCCCGATGGATGTTTCACTTTCTTCGCAAACCTCATACAATTGATATGCCATTCGTTCGCAGATTTGTTGTTTGTTTGTTTGTTTGGCCCTGGTTTAGCTTTATCTCTCGTTGGCGCTGGTGCTTGTGGAGTTTGTGCATGCGCTTGTGTCTTTCATGGTTTTTCATGCGCGGGTTTGGCGATTCGCGCAGAACCCACGGATCGCGTTGGCCCTGCCAGACAGCTGCAGAAACCCCTGAGAAGGTTCCTGAGGCTTTCCTGGCGCGGCTTTGGGGTGGGTTGGGCGCTTGCCCTTTCAATCGGTCTTCGACAGGTACATCCTGCAAGAACGTGCCTACCATGTGGCCTGCTGGTATCTTCGTTGGCTGAAGGTGGCCTATTGGGCCGCTCGGTTGCGCAAATGCCAGGTGAAACGGGCAGCTTCTTTTGGGAAGGGAACCCACTTTCATACGGTGGATGCACGGAATTCTGCACCGCTCTGAAACCATGGAAAACCATTGTTTGTTTGTTCGTATTTACAGAGAGGTCCTCATTCGAGGGTTTCTTGGGTGCTGGATTTCGTCCATCAGTAGCTTGATGAACTGCTCCGTGCTTCTTGGGGCCCCGGTGGCATAAGCGAAGGAAGTGGAGGGCATCTCGATTGCCGCCGTCTTGGATGCCTTCTTGAGGCGGCTGGAGGAGCCACACCTGGAGGATCGGAGTCCGAGTCCTCGCGGCGGGTTGTTTTCTAGTCCAACCCTTCGCCTCCGGTTTTCTGGTCGTTTGGTCCCCCAGCCTGGTGCCCTTTTGAACCGTTTCTTGTTTGGGGGAGGGTTCCCCTACTAAAATAGACTACAGAAAAAAAGTTAGTACCCTTATTCTAACCTCTCCACTGCAGGACCTAGTTGTCATCCACCCTGCCAACACCGAAAGTTCGCCGCTCACAGGCGCACACGCGGGGCATCCTCAAACATATTGCAGCTCTCGAGAAGTTGGATGTGCAGCACCCGCCAAAGCCAAAGGCCCGGAAATGGTGCGGACCGAGTGGCCCGCTTGAACAAAAAACCCTTTCGAGGGTTTCGGACGCGGCAAATTGTTTGAGCGGTTTTCGGAGATGCCTTGTGTGCTGGCTTTGACATTGCAACTGCTTCTCCAAAAGGACCCGTTGCTGTCTGCGCAGGAGTCAATAATCTTGCTCGTTCTCAGCAGGGAATGAGGGAATGACGCCCTATAAACCATCCTTTGCGGTGTCCTTTACGGAAATCCCCAGGTTCATTCCATGTCTCATTCCCTACCTATCGCACCGATCGCAAGTAGTTGTAGGAATCTTCAATCCTGGGTGAGTTGCGGAGAGTCAATCGGCCGGGCAGCCCGAGACATCGGGCAAAAGCCCTCTTCAAGGGCCCTTTGCCTTTTGAGACTGTAGCGGGAGTGCAGGTTCATGGTTCTCGGCTTTGAGTCCATTGGGTGTTTCTTGGGAGGATCATGGCCTGAAGAACATAAAGCTGATCTCATGGTTCGAGCTGTTGATCTTGGGGTGAAAATACAGACCCTTGTCGGTCCCTTCAGCGGAAAAGCGACTACTGGTTCATCTGCAAGCGACGCTTGGCATAAGATGCCCGCAGGCAGAGGCGGATTTGACGGATCAGGAGACCAGGGGTGCTGTTCAGCTTGAAGGCTGTAAAGTCACGGGGCTCAACGGCTCAACCTCAAATCAACGAAGTGGCTCAATGATCGGCTCAGGAGCATTCCTTCCCACCCATTCAACGCACTTTAAAAGGCATCCGCTCGGATTGGCGTTTTGAGAGCGCGGAAAGCAAAGCCGCCCATGCGATGTCTGCTTCCCCTGGAGGAAAGGAAGGAGGTCACGCGCCAGTACCGAATCAGATTCATACACGTCTTCCTCATCGGCAACATGATCCGCCCGCAAAACCAGCGGTGGCATCAGGTGCGGAAGACGTGGAGAAAATCGGCAGGGCTCCTGCAAAGATACATTTTGCCCATTTGAAACATGGCTTTTCCCACCAAAATACAGGGAAGCCACCATTTACAAGGCAATGTTCAGGTGTATAATGTAAGGATCGCCCCCAACAACGTGACTGCCTCGTTATGGACCCCTGAGCTCATTTTTGTGAACCTCCCTGTTTATGCGAGAGACCCCCCCCCCCCCAAATGGATAATCCTGGACGTTTGTCGGCGTATTTCATGAAGTTGTGCGTCATGTCGGCGTTTTCAGCACACCTTACGGTTGTTCAATGGCGCATCTTTTTGAGTGTGCCCTTTTTGGCTAAGACAAACCACATGGAAACCAACCAGTTTTGGGCACAATCTTATGTTGCATTTTGAGCCAATTACTCGCCTCAGAGATCTCAAGTTGGTCAACTCACTTCCCACATTTCTGGGGGTACCTTCCCCATTCTTTCGAGGGATCCTTCTTTCTAGAAAACCTCCAGAATCCCAGGGAAAACGGCTGGTTTTGAAAAGAACGATAGTTGAAAAGAATGGGGAACCAAGCCCTAGAACCTTGTTTTTTTGGGGCAGCTTGAGAACCAAGCCCTTTCCGCAGTGGAAGCTGGCGATGCGGAGAAAGAGGAGACGGGAGGAGCTGGAGAGGAGGTTGCAGAGGCCTCGAGGGAGTTCACCCCAAATGTTGGACGCCGTTTCGTCTGAACAAAACCATGGCCAATGCTTGAGCTCTTTCTAAAAATTGGGGTCCTTTTCCAGGTGGGTTTGCTTTGGTTGCCTTTTAAGGCCATCCAAAAGAGGAGCTTTTTTTATGGCTTCAGGTTGCCACTATGCCCAAGAGGTTGTCCTAGATGACAAAAAGGGTTGGGATCCCGCGGAAGTCCTGAGAGCTCTCAGGTGCCCACATGGGCTGACACGAAGCAACTTCTGCCTCTCGTGCCAGGCCGGGGAAAAGGCGACGGCAGAAACCATTCAGCTGACGGTTCAATCGGGAACTTTTTGGACATGCAAAAACGGGAGGGAACCTGTGTCAGAACTCGAAGATGCAAGTGGGTGCTAGGGTCCATGGAGCGGTGCGTCGGAACTTGGGTCATTCCAATTTGTGCCGCGACTGCGTTGGAGTGTTTGGGTGGAACCTCTCAGTTTCATGGGAGTCATTTGGAATAATTGAGCAGCCCCCATGGTAGTGTAGCATCCCTGCTTAAGGGATGCAAATAATTTCAGTGGAAAAGGCATGGGGATCATTTCTTGACTGCTACTGGGTTGGATCTTTAGACTTCAACTTCTTGGGAATTCGAGTTGGGTGTTCCACGAATATCCCCCCCCCCCACAAAAATATATATATATATATAAACTTTTTGCAAGTTTTCGGCGGACCGCCTCAGATCCTGAGATCCACTGGCGAAGTCAAATCCATCGCCAGGGCTGCGAGCACGGCCTGAGGAAGAGCGAGTGCAAGGTGTGCAGCCGCTGCTCGCATGGGAAGCCTCTTGGCCTTGTTCTTTTTCGAGTGTTGGGAAACCACAAATGTGTTCGGAGGAAGAAGGAAAAAACGGGGGGGGGGGGGGAAAGGGGGTGGGGGGAAAAAACGAAAAAGGATCTGGGGCGGTTCGGGTTCCGGAAGAGCTCCGCGTTGGCGATCTGGTGCCTTCCAATTCCATTCTTTGCCAGGCATCCTTCTTTCTACAAAACCATCCAAAAATCTGGGGAAACAGCTGGTAAAAGAACGATGGTTGAAAGGAATGGGGAATCAACTCCTAAAAGCAAGTTGGAACCACTGCTGCACCTTCCATGGTTTTTCCCCCGACGGATCTCAAAAAAAAGATTGTGTCCATGTGTTTCGTTTATACCAAACGGCCACTTCAACTTTGGGCCTTGCGCCAATCCAGGCCTGTGGGAAAATGCGCGGTCTGCAACGCCTGCGCCCACGGCCTGGCGAAGGGGAACTGCGCCCAGTGCAACTTGTGCCCACATGGGCGGCGCAAGGGCGCCTGCAAGCTGTGCAACCCAGTCCTGTAGTACCTTTTTCCCATGTGTTTTTTTTCTTTTTCTTTTCTCCTTTTTTTAGAGAAGGGTCGCCCAGTACCCCTCCCCCTTGGCGTTTGTTTTTCCCATTTTCCTTGGAGAAGGTATCCCTCTAAAATCAAGTTGCGCCCCCCTTTTTTGCCATGGACTCGAGGCAATGGCTGTGAGCACGGCGAGCGAAGAGACCGCTGCGTGACTTGCAGCCCGTGCCCGCACGGCAAGTTGAAACAGGACTGCAAGACTTGCACCGGGTGCAACTCGGTTGCCCAAAGTGCATCGACCTTTTGATCTTCTTGTTTTCCAAAGTTTTTAGTCAGGGTCCCAAAAAGGTTAACCTTTCACGTGTGTGTGTGTGGGCAACTGAGGCAAACATGGCAAGCTGAAGCGCTTTTGCCAGATTTGCTCCCAATGCTGCCATGGGAAGTACAAGCGGCTTTGCAAGATCTGCTCCGGATGCCGGCACGGCAATCTCAGACAACTGTGCAAGCGTTGCACGGCAAGGCGGCGAAATGCCCAAGGTCAGAGGGAGGGAGAAGAGGCACCTCCAAATCAAGGCCTTCGGAAGAGCCAAGACTGCGAGCACAAGAAAAGGCGCTGGCTATGCCGGGAATGCAACCCAACCTGCGAGCACGGCAGACTACAGGGCCGCTGCTTCAAGTGCAACGAGGCCGCAGGCCTTGACGCCTGCCCACACGGCCACAAGAGCCCCAAAGAGGGTGTTTTCTGCTTGGAGTGCCACGGCTGCACACACAAGCGGTTGCGCTGGATGTGCCGGGAGTGCAACCCCCCCTGCGAACACGGCAGGCTGCAGCGATATTGCCGCAAATGCAAAGAGGCAGGCCTTGACGGCAATGAGCCGTCCAGCGCCCGCACAAAGACGAGCGGGAAGCCCCCCACTTTTGACAAAACGACGGACAGGAAGCCCTCCGGCAAGCAGGGTGGGAGAAGTGCCGAGGCAGAGGAAGTGGGCCAGGGCAAGGGAATTCGCCAAGCCAAGAAGATGCGGCTGTGGAAGGGCTGTGAAGCCGGCTGTTGCATACAGTCTGCTTCTTGCGGGAGTGGCGAGTTGGAGCTGGAACAGTCTATGTGATGTTGTACATATGCAGCTTGCAATTCGCCACTGCATGCCCCTGGACACAGAGAAGCGTCCAGCGTGAGCTGGTGGCAAGTTGATTCATGGGACCATTGCGCCTGTTTGTCAGCGGGCCCTACCAGGTGCCATTCGATCCCTTGCAGTCGTTCACACGCACTGCAGCCGGAAAAAGCGTCAAACATGAGTCAGAGAAGGTTCAATGTGTATGTGGCAAACCCCGAGCTAGACTACACCCAGTTGGGTTGTATTGGAGAATCAACAACCCCTGGATTAAGATGATTTAAGTCAATCTTGGGGCAGTCAAAAATCATAGAACCCTCTTTAAAAATTGAAAGTATAACATGTTATATATATATGTGTGTGTGTGTGTGTTTGTTTTGGGAATTATTGAATGTTGATATTGGAGAAAAAGGATAAAAGAAGATGAAATTCCTTTAAAGTAGTTGTTTGAATTATACATTAAAATGAACTAGCTGTTGCAGGCTTGCATAAGTGTTGCTACAGAGTGCTGCGGTATATTGTAGGCCGAGATTCAGAGTCGCGTCGGGCATAACGTAGGCAGGGCGTTGTTGCAGGGTGCTGCTGTAGGCCGAGACTTAGAGTAGGAGGGTGTTATTGTAAAGTGTTGTTATGGGTATGTTGTAGTTTGCTACTGCAGCCGGCCGAGATTTAGAGTTGTATAGGATGCTGTTGCAGGGTGTTGCTATAAACCGAGACCTAGAATAGGAGGGTGTTATTGCAAAGTGTTATTATAGGGTGTTGGTGTAGGGTGTTGTCGTAACCGAGATTTAGAGGTGTATAGCGTGTTGTTGTAGGGGGCTGCTGTAGGCCGAGATTTAGAGTAGGAGGGTGTTATTGCAAAGCGGTTTTGGGGTGTTGTTGCAGGGTGTTGCTGCAGGGTTTTGCAGCCGAATGTAGAGTTGCGTAGGGTATTATTGTAGTGCGTTGTTGTAGGTCGAGACTTACAGCAGGAAGGTGTTATTGTAAAAAGATGTTATACGATGGTGTTGTAGGGTGTTGCTCCTGCCGAGATTTAACGTTGTATAGGGCGTTGTTGCTGCTGCAACCGAGATTTCGAGTTGCGTAGGGGGTTGGAGGGCGCTGTTGCTGTTGCAGCCGAGATTTCGAGGTGCGTAGGGTGTTGGGTGTTATTGCAAAGTATTAGTGTAGGATTATAAATTAAATTTATGGAGAGTTATTGTAGAGCGTTGTTGTAGGCCAAGTTTAGAGTAGGAGGATGTTATTGCAAAGTGTTGTTATGGGTATGTTGTAGGTTGTTACTGCAGCCGGCCGAGATTTATAGTTGTATAGGATGCTGTTGCAGGGTGTTGCTATAAACCGAGACCTAGAATACAAGGGTGTTATTGCAAAGTGTTATTATAGGGTGCTTGGTGTAGGGTGTTGTCGTAACCGAGATTTAGAGGTGTATAGCGTGCTGTTGTAGGGAATTGCTGTAGGCCGAGATTTAGAGTAGGAGGGTGCTTTTGCAAAGCGGTTTTGGGGTGTTGTTGCAGGGTGTTGCTGTAGGGTTCTGCAGCCGAAATTTAGAGTTGCGTAGGGTATTAGGTAGGGCGTTGTTGTAGGTCGAGACTTACAGTAGGAAGGTGTTATTGCAAAGTGTTGTTATACGATGGTGTTGTAGGGTGTTGTTACTGCCAAGATTTAACGTTGTATAGGGCGTTGTTATTGCTGCAATCGAGATTTCGAGTTGCATAGGGGGTTGTAGGGCGGTGTTGCTGCTGCAGCCGAGATTTCGAGGTGTGTGTGGGGTGTTGGGTGTTTTTGCAAAGTATTTTTTAAAGGATTATAAATTAAATTTATGGAGAGTTATTATAGAGCGTTGTTGTAGACCAAGATTAGAGTAGGAGGATGTTATTGCAAAGTGTTGTTATGGGGTATTTTTGTAGGACATATTCGAGATTTAGAGAGGCATAGAGTGTTGTTATAGGTCGAAATTTTGAATGTGAGGAAGTTATTGCAAAACAATTTTGGGGGTGATATTGTAGGACGTAGTTATAGCGTGTTGTTGTAGGGGGGATATTGTATTTTTTAGTATTATGACTTTTAGAGGTGGTTATGATTTTATATATTGGGTAAAGGTATTAATTAAGTATTTGAAATAATTATATAGATCGATACAAACATAATAATATATATAGATATATAATAAATAGGATTTTTTGGAAATTATTATTTTTTAGTTTTTATTTATAAATAATATATATATATATATTATTTAGATTATATAATTTTTGATTGAGAAAGATTTTTAATAATGGTTTGATTAAAATTTATTGCTTTAGATATTCGAATAATTGAATTAATATATAAAATTAATAATATTTTATAATTGTTTATTTTTTGCTAAATATAAATTAGAAATAAAAAATTATATGAAATAACATGTATATATGGTATTTTGTTGAAGCAATTATGTTTTTTTGGAGATAAATAGAATGGAAAGGATATGAAAATAAATTTAAAGGAAAAATAATAATATATTATGTTATATAAAGAATATATTAATATTTAAATTCGAATGTTGAAGAAATATAATGAATTAGAAAGGGAAAAGAAATTTAAAAAATATAGAAACATATTAAAAGGAAATGAAAAACAATATAAAGAATATAAAGAAAGGATACTAAATAGAATTGGATTTGATCGGTTAATAATAAATTATTTGTATAAAATAGTATAAATATAATTTATTTATTTATTTTTAAAAACCAAATATAATAATATATTATTTTTTTTTATAATTCTTTTTTTCTCTTTGATTTATATATGGTTTAATTATTTTATATTTCTTTTATATATCTTTTCCAATTCTTTTTATATCTTTTCCCTTTCCATTGTCTTTCTATATTTTATTAGTGTTTTTCTTATTCCTTTTTATTTTTATTTGTATTTTTGCAATTTTGTTTATGTTAAATTATTCATAAAATTTATATAAAAATATTTACTTTAAATATTCGAAATATTAAATTATATATCCATTTTACTATTCTTTATCTAAATAATAGTATTTCCAAAATATATATGTAAATAAATATATTTTTATTTAATAAATATATTTATAAATTACCAATCCTTTTGCGTTGGGCCATACCCCCATCACAAAACAAGGGCTAAGCCTCCCATTCCTTTCTCAATTCATTCTTTCATTTTGTTTATTTTTTCGATAAATGGTTCGATAAATATATTTGTTTTTCTTTCAAAATGTATATTTATATATTATCAATATTTATATATATAATATAAATATAAATCAATAATTAATATATTTAATATTAAAATTTATCAAATATTATAAGTATATCAATATTGAAAATATATATATATATATTAATAATTTTTATATTTTAAATTATATATATATATATTTTATTATATTAATTTATATATTTAAAAACCACATATTATTTAAAAAAAATATCACCTAAATTTATATAATAAATATATTCTTAATATGTTAAATTAATATAAAATATGAATTTCAGATTTATTTAAATATATTTATAAATATTCAAAATCCCATCCAAAACAAATGTGGTTGTATATTTTTTTAAATTATAATATTCTATATATATTTAAAAAAGACAAAATCGTCCTATTTCGAAATCCTTCTAGCAATCAACAAAATATCCCTTTCTTCTTTTTATTTTTTTGTTCTTCGTTCGCATTAATTAAATAGAAGTGGTGAATGGAGAGAGTGTATGATGTCCAGCTTTTGAGATTATTCTTTTCTTTATCCTCTTCTTCTTCTTTTATCTATTTCTTTGTCTGTTTCTTTGTCTTTTTCTTGCGACGTGATCATGCTACGTGTGTCTTTCTTGATCGACCACTTTGTTTTCCCTGTCCATGAGTCTAACCGCTATGACGGAAAATCCGTGAGCTGGAAAGAGATGTCTTGATGTGTCTCCTCTTTCCTTTTCTCATCAGCGAAGGCTGGTGAAGGAACGGGCCATCTCTTCATACCCTTTTGTTTAGGACCTCCGCGAAGCTTTCGCTTTCGCGAGCGGCAAAAACCTTCCAAGCAGCCTTTCACAGCCTTCGACCATCAAAACCCTTTGTCCTTACGAACGCAACTGTCCAGTGCAGAGAATTTAGAGCGCTGCTCAAATACATTGTGATAGGAGAATAGGCAGACCTACACACCTATAGCGAGGCTCAAACAAAACGAGACCCGCATTACACATAAACATCAAACGTATTCATGTGTCGCTTTCTTGCTTTTTCGAGAGCAATCCATTTGGGTGATGTTCAAATCCTCAGCCCTAGAAGCAAAATGCTTCTTGCGTGCTTCACCACCACGTCTTCGCCTTGATCGACTGCTCCACATCGCATTCGCAGGACTTGTAGACGAAGATGTACCTCGATCCGAAGCCAAGTCGCAAGCAACCAAAACCTGAAGCCCAAAACTGTTGGTTCCAACATGGGTGTGGGTCAAAACCCTGTACCCCTGGTGAACATCAAAATAGGTGGTAAGTGGGTGTTCATCCGCCCGAAAATGGGATCGCCATAGGTTATGACCCATAGCCACATGGGTCAGGTCTCTTTTTTGTATGAACCCCGGCGAAACCAGGAAGTAGGAGCTGCTAAAACAGGCAATAGAGCTTTTGGAGGCTGCTCACCTGGTATACCCAAGGGCTATGATGTCTGGTTCCCTTTGACCAAAAGGGGTCCATCCTTAGAGTTGCTCCCGTGTGGGAGTGTCTTAAGGGAACTCCACTGTCCACAAGATCGTGGCTTCCTGTTGGCTTCCCAATAAAAACCACCCCAAGTGGCCTCAAAGCATTTGTGCATGTGTATGCATATATATATATATATATATTTGGGGGGGGGGTGCGTTTTCTTGATGCTACCTTTTTCAGGTTGGTTTTTTCAGGAACCGCCTAGGCGTAAAACCGAATGCTTCCCATCTCCACGAGCCATTGCCTTGGGACCACCCGCTCGCTTCTCGCGCTCGGGTCACATGAGCAGCGCAGGGACTCCCACCGGCCAGGCCTGCAACGAGTTCTGCGTCGATTTGGCGGCCCTGTTGAAAAGGCGCTGAAATACTTAAAGGACTGGAATTTAGATTCAGCTTCATATCTCTACCCTGAAACTCAAAAAAGAGCTGTTTTGCCCAGAGAGCACGAAGCTTGCGACTGCTATCGAGAAGGTTCAGTGCACGTGGGTTTCCGAAGCTGAGGAGCAAACCCAAGCGGACAGGCGCCAGTACCAGCGGCCAGGGGCGTTCCAGAACCTGACGGGTTCCGAAAAAAAAATAACGTGGAAGAACCGGAGCGCAACCAGAACCAGTTTGGGTGTTGCTCAACAAAAAGAAAGGAAGGAGGAGTCCTCTTGGTCCACCCAAACTCTGCAACTGGGCCAAAGAAAATACATCTGCTTTGGGCGCGAAGAATTCCAGGGGCGCACCACTGCCACATGATCTTCTGCTGGAGGTGGGAGAAGGTCTGCTTGATCTCACCTCCCGGCACCTCAGAAACCCGCTCTCGAAGCAGCCGATCGACCGATCGACCGACCACTCGCACCATCAGCCCGGCCTGGAAGCGATTGCACCACCAAATGTATGCCTCGCGCAAAGGAAGGCGTCCGCACGATCCGTACGACGAGGATCGAGATTTTGAGCCCGAGCGCAGTTTGCGAATTCTAGTTGGCCCAGAAGGGCGGGCTAAAGTGCTGCCTGGTGTCCACCAGGGATTTTTTGGTTTGTGGTTTCCAAGCCGAAGAAACCCCCCAAGTTCCACGAGTCGGGCCGTGAAGGGGGAAACCCCGCGTCGAACATCTCGAATTCCGCCTCCGGTGGGACAGGGTAGCTGCCCAGGCGTGCCTGGTCCTGGAGGTTCGCTGGTCTGGGCTCTCAAGTTGGAGTTGGGAGTCTTGGAAAAAGTCCGAAGGATGCCAAAACCGGGCCCATAGCCACCTGAGTCATAGTCAAAACCCGAACCTTGGGATTGTCCCTAAGCTTCATCTACCCGGGTTTTGAGCAAGTGGCTCACTTGTACACCTTCAAGCTGGCAGGGGTAGCACATTTCAAGCCTGAAACCCTCAAAGGAACCCCTCAAAGGAACCCCTGAAACCCTCAATCAGTCAATGCAGCCTCCACCCTGAAAGCCTCACCCCTCGCCCGGTCCCTTTGGCTGGTCTTCCGCAGGGACAGCAACTCCGAGCTGCGGGTCACTACGCGGCGCAGCGACCTGGCCGAGGCAACAAGAAAGGCGGCCGAGGCCTTCGCGACAGCGGCGACAAAACAAAACAACAACGCAAAAACAAAAAAAGAAACGAAGGAACCGGCAAACAAGCAAGCAAGCAAGCAAGCAAGCAAGCAAGCAAGCAAGCAAGCAAGCAAGCAAGCAAGCAAGCGAGCGAGCGAGCGAGCGAGCGAGCGAGCGAGCCACAACACTGACTTGTCCAAACAATCTGCCTGCTGAAATGCCTATCAATTGCACCTGTCACACCCAAATGACAATAAAGCCAGCTGCACATGATGCCACAAGTCAGCAGAGGCGCCGGTCGGGAAAGGCAGTGCTGAGCCAAAGAGAGGCTGAGGCAAAAACTCGCTAGCAAAACTCCACGCCAAGGCAAACTGATGCCTGGGATGCTGACAAGAGTGGGACATCCGTATGGGTGGTGCTGTCGGACACCCTTCTCAGCTTTAACGGGAAACCACCACGGAAATTTGGGGTTCCCCGATCCCTCCCAGGCAAATGCAACCCTTTCTCACTTCGGCTGACTGTGTTTCAGCCGGCGGCCAACGCGCGCCAGAGACATTAACTGTCCGACCGGGTTGGGCAATGTTCAAGCTTCCTGGCTTCCTTGCGGATGCCAGGAGACTCTTCAAACATCGGCCACCAACATCTTGGGTGAGTCAGGTGTTGAGTGGGCGCCTCAAAAAAAAACTCGGAGCCAGTTCCTGTCAAGGTTGAAAAAAGGTGAGAGGTGGCCTCCGCGTTGACCCAACCCGACTCTCCGACTCTGCGACTTCCTTTCGGCCCCAGAGTTCAGAGCCGATTTGGGAGTCACACCTCGGTGTCGGACGGCTGGCGCGGCAAGAACGCCATGAATTTCTCTCTCTCGGATGCCAATAAAAAATGGCCGTGCGACGTTTTGAGAGCAGCCTTTCCAGGTTGCTTTGAAGGCAAGCCGGAAAAGCAGAACCGCCCTTCTTGGCGGGGAGCCTGGGAGTTTTGGGTCCGATTTTCCTCGGCCTCCCATGCATGTTTCTTGGCTTCCCGAACCGAGGCGCGCGCAAACATCTTCTTCCGTCGCCGCGCAGGGTTCGGCTTTGCCTCGACACGCGCAAAGGAGACATCCGCCTCGAGTACGATTCAACCCTAAACCCATATGGGTGCGTGTGTTTTTGACGGTACCCCTTTTTCTTGCTTCAATCGGAAACCAGAGGGAAAACACAGCAGTTTTCTTGGACACCCCCTATTTTGACACACACCCTCATGCACAGAAAACAGCTGAGCAATAGGGTTTAGGGCGACGGATTTTCTCTAAGTCGCCAGCACCCTCCTCTTCCTCCTCTTCCTCCACAACGGCTCTGGCCTAAACGAAGACGGACGGAAACGAAGGAAACGTGTCCCCGCACATTTCAGGGTCCCACCGTTTGGATGGTTTCTAGGTCCTCCAGTAGAGAGGTTAGAATAAGGGTACCAACTTTTTTCTGTAGTCTATTTTAGTAAGGGGACCCTCCCAAAAAAAAGGTAAAAGGGCACTACTGGGGGACCCAGGTTTTGCTTTTTAAAGGCCGGCAAAGAAACGCCAAGGTTGGTGCCACACCCAAATGCACTGAGGAATCACTTGGGGACCCTTTGGTGGACATGAAAAAACTGAGTCTGCAGAAAAGAAGGGTCAGTCTTAAGACGAAGTCCCCTATCACGGAAAGTGGCCCTAAAACCCTACTGCTTCTACAACACAAACACTGGCTCGAAATTGGCAACTCACTGGTATCAGTGGGAAACTCCCATGAATCCCCGAACTGCGATGTCCACCCAAGAGCCTAAGAAAAGTCCGCCACGCCCCATTCGCGCCCCTTTCGCCGAACCAAAAACCGACCCACCCGCGGCTCCGCCGCCTGCAACCTCTCGGCCATGCGAGCTTCCAGGGCCTCGGCGCGAGCTAAAACTCGCCAGGGCGGTGGGGCACCCACACCATGGGTTTTGTTGGGAACCTGTTGGGGCTTGGTCTGAAGGGAAAGCAAAAGAAGACCGAAACCCTTCTCGTCTTTTTTTTTGGTGGGGGGGGGGAAGTGGATGGTTTCCCCAACTTACTGTTCCACGCCCCAAAAGCGGCCGTTGCCTACGCATCCGCTTCCGGGTTTCCGGGTGCCAGCGCCTCCGTGTGCGACCGTAGGGACTGGAGCTCCTCACATGGACACGATTTTTCGACATCCGTCGTTCCGACTTCTTTTAAGTGCTCCAGCCAATTCTTTTAAGTGCTCCAGGCAATTTGGTTTATCTCGAGTAGCCCTATAAGAAACAGTGGAGAAACAGTTCTGGAGGAGAGGCGAACCAAGAAAGGAAAAACTGGGGTGGTCATTGACACTGTGACCCTGCCACAAGTGAAGCTGAAGCACTAAGCAAACGTAGACGTCGCGCAAAAGATCCACCAAGTTGATGTATACCCTTCATGTATCAACTATCTCTTACTTGTCCCTTTTTCCCCAGAGGCTTCTATCCACGTTTTCCACACTTCCTAGCTGCATTGGCCGGACCCCTTTAAAACCAGGGGACAATGACATCATGGGGGCGGCCTGTCTTTTGCGGAGCCCCAACATGGATTTCGGCGTTTGGTGTCCCTCTCTGATTCCCATCGCCTTTTGAGTGCATCCACAAAGGCCACAAGATGCGTTTCGCATCCAGCCCTCAAACCCCGCGGATCTAGCGTTTACGCCACCAAAGGGACCCACGGTTTTGGATGGATCGAAAAGGAAGTCCCCAAGTTTGACAGTGGGTGCTCTCTCTCAAACTTGGGGGAGCCCAGGTGGTTAGCCCCATCGGCAATTTGGGGGATGGTCCTCTTAGGTGTCCCTCTAAATATAAAACCACCCCCAAAAAAAAGATGCCATCCCACCCTCTCCACATACCTGACGTTCGGGTTGTGTCCCCTTAGAAAACACCATGCTCCTTTTAAAGGCCCCAAGTCCCCAACGTCAGGCCCCACGTTTAAAAAAACTTTAAAAAAAGCTGGGAGGGCACCATCTCAAAACCAAAGGAGAGAGTCACGAAAAAAAAAAAACTTTTCATGGCTGCGCCTCAGAAAAGCAAAACCAAAGAAGTCAGGGTTGGATCCCACCTTCCAAGCCCCAAATCAGGAACACCTACGTGGGCCGAAGGCCAGGTGTCCCCCCAGGTTTTAGCCACGACTCGCCCCGGCCACACCACACCAAGATATTTCCCCGCTGGGTCTCCAATCTCCCCACCTGGAGGAGCTCCGTGCCGGCCAAGACCTTCTCAGGCCTCGGCAAGTCGTCAAGTCTGCGGTCGGTCTTCGGGGCCATGGAAAGACCGGCGACGGATGGGGGGACAGGGGGACCCGGGGGCTTGGGTGCCTCCCTGCTTGGAAGAAGAAACCGAGAAGAAAAAAAATGCAAAAGGCGAACCAAGCCGTTTGCAGGGGTCCCCTCGTTTCGAGAGGCAAACCCGTGAATGAGAGGCGAAGCACTCCCGGCTCCCTGGCTCCAAGTAGCATTCCCAAGGCTGCTGGAGGGAGGGCCAACAAGCAAGCAGAAAACCTCCACCACCAAGTTTTGTCTGGCAGCATCTGTTCTGGCACCCTCCGTTCCGCCCCATTCCGATTAAAACTCCAGTCAAGTCAGCCACATGTTATGGCGCGAACTATTCATATGAGAATTGGGCATTTTGAGCAAGCCTCTGGGCCTGTCAATGGACAAAGAAGGGGTCGCGCCTCGCTTCTCGCTTTGCTTTGGACCTTGATGGACTCTGCACCGCGTCTTCAAACCTGAGCACGGCGTCTCCAAAGATCGTCGGCGGCCATGGGGACGCTGAAATCGGGGGCTGGACTGCTCATGTTGACAGCAGCATGGAGCCCCGAAGTCTATGGAGTTTAAAGCAGCCAACAGGGGAAAAAAATGGAAGTTTCTGCCACAGAACATGACTGTGATACAAAACGCGGGGTTCATCTTGCGCCATCCGAGACTCCGAGACGCGGACTCTTCCCGCGGCCCAGCCTTGTGCTCGAGACCGAGCCGTGCAATCAGAGAAATCCAGCAAACAAAAATGGAACCCCTGCCACACCTAGCTCTTTTGGACCCATGGGAACTGGGAAATCAGGGCGGAGTGGTGCCTTTCCTCACTTGGGCCCCTGATTTTGGGACCTCTTTTGGGCCGCTTCCTCGTGGTTTCCCTGCTTCGAGCGCCCGACATCGCTCTTCTCCGCACTTTCCGCCTCGGTGGTTGGTTTGGAGCGAGCCCGTTGGAGGTTGGGAGGCTTCTCAGTAAACCTCTAGACCCCCTGGGTTCAAATGCTCCAACCACTCGCCACAATCCACACCATGGGCTCGAATGGCACCAACTCAGAACTCAGGGTGTACTTCTTCCTGGATGGCCGTTGGTTCCGCGCGGCCTTTTGAAATTAATTACAATAATAACAATAATAACAATAATAACAATAATAATAATATCAAGAAAAAGTCTCCGCTAGCTATCCCCAAAAGCTTTTTCTTGACCCGACATGCCTTTCGAACCCTCGAACAGAGCTTTCAGGCGAGCCACCTTCGAAGGCGGCTCCGAAGGCTTCTCCAGCTTCGAAGGCTCCCTCGAGCATGTGAGTCAAAATCAAAAGTGGACCCAAGGCAAAACTCTACTGAGAGTGAGCTGAGGGGTCAAGAGATATCAAGAGGTGAGTCAAAATC